CTCTGTAAACTGCTTAGAGAGGGCTGAAAGCCCTATGAAGCGGTATATAAGTCTAACTGCTATTGCTATTTCAGTGGTTCTGCTCTAAGCACAATTAAAGCTGAATCCATTGCAGCCTACAGATAGCCCTTGACTTATGACCACAATGGAGCCCAAACTTTCTGTCGTTAAGTGCTATATTTGTGATGCGAGCTGTTTATTTTGCCACAGTTAAGTGAATCACTGCAATTGATAAGTTAGTAGCCCAGTTGTTAAGTGAATCTGGTTTCCCCATTGACTTTGCTTGTCAGGTGATCACAAAAGCTGACCACTGAAACTTGGTATGCAGGAACCATCATAAATATGGACCAGCTGCCAAGCATCTGAGTTTTGATCACATGATTATGGGGATGCTACAATGGTCGTAACTGTGAAAAATGGTCATAAATCATATTTTTCAGTAACTTTGAACAGTCACTAAATGTACTGTTGTAAGCGAGGACTAAATGAATTTTAAAAAGGCATGGTGTATTTGGCTTTCTACAACAAGGTGATATCACTCTTGCTTTGCTGTATTACTGCAAAAAAGATTGCATGTGTAATCTCTCAAAATTCCCTACCTTAATGTCAGAAGACACCCCTCCTCCTTTTTTGAGTAACGTTTCTAAGTTCTCCTTAAAGACTGTTGCTTACCCCTGAGAGAAGCAACATTCAGCCTTAAATTCTAAAATATAGTAAATTTGTTTGTGATCTGAACAGCCATGTACTTGTGAAAAGGAACAGTTTGGCAGTCAAAGGCTAACAATAACATATGTTTCATAGGCTGCCATCTACTGCAACAGTTGGAGAGAAAAAACACACCCTGACAGATCACACATACATGGTAGGGTAGGAGAACACAAGTAGCAAAGGGAGAAAAACACAAACTATAGGTAGAATCCTTTCCAATAGTGGGCATTCACCAAATATTAAGGCAGTGTAAAGAAGCATGATCAGAACATGTCTTGGAAGGGAAATGCCAAATGAAAGTGCTGGATCAAAGCTGAAGACTTCAGAAGGCTTGCTAGTTCAGTCGGATGATAAAAGTGCCTTCTGTGCACATGAACATACATACACCAAAGACTTTGTTTCTTCAGACCAAAGCAGTTAGTCAAAGCGCAGAGCCCCCCTTATCATTTCCAAAATGGAACAACTCCCCCCTCTTTTTCCCCTGAGGAAAGTACCTGGAACAGTGGTGGGATTCAAAAAATTTTACTACTAGTTCTGTGGGCATGGCTTGGTGGGCGTGCAGGGGAAGGATACTGTAAAATCTCCATTCCTTCCCTACTCCGTGGGAAGGTTACTGCAAAATCCCCATTTCTTCCCGATCAGCTGGCAGGCAGAGAATAGATGGGGGGGGTGGCCAGTCAGAGGTTGTATTTACCGGTTCTCCGAACAACTCAAAAGTTCCGCTACTGGTTCTCCAGAACTGGTCAGAACCTGCTGAATACCACCTCTGATCTGGAAGCAGATCACCACCAGACTCGGCTGAAACTGAAGCAACATTTTGAACCAGATGATGGTCAAATTGCACTCCCTATTACAAAAAAACCCACCAGTCATTTTTACAATGAGCTGCTGATGAACCAATGCAGTGTGCTAAACCTCTTTGGTTCCTGTTTTACCTCTAGGAAATAATAGTAAACTCATTGATTTTTTAACTCAGCCCTTTGGTGAGAAAAAAAGTCTTAGCTGATTCTTTTCAAGGACAAGCACCTCAAGGAAGAAAAAAGGGAAGCATGGCAGCAGATAACCTGACCTTGAATTTGGCAATCCGAATTCAAACACCCACTAATTGTATGTGTGCCGGCTCATTACAATCTGGGGTCATTTCACTAGATTAGTAGTTGCTTATGGAGAGGTGTTACATGCTGCAGTTGAATTCCATCCAATCAGTTGCTCACTTGACTGAAAAATTGAATTTAAAGTTAAACTGATTCCTCTGAAGGGGGGGGGGAGCATACCTAAAATTCAGTTCTCTCATTCAAACTGGACTCAAATGTTGCAAGCATGCTGGATAGACTCGGGCAACAGAGCAGCCACGAGTGTGTGGCATCGACTGTGAATTCAGCTACTCCTTCTTCCCAGGAAAGACCGAATCTATGGACCATATATCTTAGCCACTGCCAGAGCCACCCTTCCCCAGGTTCGGAACCTAAGCGGGATGCACCTGGAGAAAAGGTGGAGGAGAGATTCCTGCGGAATACCCAGACCGGGAAGCTGAAAAAGACATCCAGGAAGAGGAGAAAGGACTGCAACAGAAAATCACTTGGATGAATCCAGGTAGCCGCCAGGAGCCGAGCATCACTTGAAGACCTAGGAGGATCAGGGTTTACGGAGCCTATGTCTTCAACCTGACTTCACTGGAAGGCGGGGGGGGAGTGGGAGGGGAATTTGCAGGGAGGGGCAGACAAAAATCCCCCCCCTGCACTGGTGCCCCTCCTGAGAAAGTGGTTTTCTCCAGGATCGCCAGACCTCTCGTTGAACCTTCCCCATTAGAGGGCGGGGACTTCGCGGCGAGGTGGGGGTGGGGAGGAATGAATGAGGCAGCCCCGTGGTTGGTTCACCCTCGCCGGCTTTCTGTCTCCTCGGCTCGTCGGTGGCCCTGGGCTGCCCCGCGTCGGAGAGGGCGTTGAACCGCAGCCTCGCCTCGCCTCCGCCCGCTCCCCAGCCGCAGTGGCCGCTCCTCCGCTTCATTCCCGTCTAGCGGAGGGCGAAGCGAGAGGCTACTGCTCCCGCCGCCTTTTGCGCACTCCTGACCCTTCTTTCCAAAGCAGCAGGTTCCGGCGTTGCCTGGCATGGCCCTGGCTTGAACGGCGTGGGAAAAGATGCTCCCGGGGAGGCAGCAGCAGCAGCGCCCGGGCGGCTGGGACCGCTGCAGGGTCAGCGAGAGACTGCAAGCCGCCCTGGCCGGCCTCCAGGAACTCCAGGTGCTGCGGGAAAAACAGCGGGCGCTGGTGAGCGAGGCTTTGGCCATGCAGCGGCCAGGCGAGGAGAGCCAGGCACAGAACAAGGAGCAGCGCCTGGAAGCCACCCTCACCGCCCTGAAGGAGCAACTGGTAAGGGAGCCGCTGCGGAGGCTCCTGGGTCACGGAATGCCCTTGGTTCGCGAGTGGGGTGGCTGGGTGGGGAAGAACCGCAACGCGCCCACGACACGCGCGACTCGGCTGCTCTCTGGCCAGGTAAGCGCGCCCCGGCTGGCTCTCGGGGCAGGCGGGCAGGCAGAGGCTTTGTAGCCGGCAAGCTTTCGAAGGAGGACGCCTGGCGGAAAACCGGCAGGGTCCTGGTCGGTCATTGTTCGCTACTCCTGGTTGTATGGAGCTCCCTTGCCTATTCTCTTGCCATGAGAGGTGTCCATGTGTAGATTCCCCCCCCCCAAAAAAAAGGATTGTCCCTGTTAGAAAATCCATTATTTCTGGGCTGAACGAGGGGGAAAATCTTTCGTTCTTGTTTGCACAGACGGATTTCGAGGGGAGGTATTGTTAACAGCCTACCTCTCTGCTCGAAGTAATTGTATTTTAATAGTAAGTTTCCTCCCCACCTGCAGTCTCTCTCTGCTCAGTTGCACAATCTTTGTCCTCGCCCTCTTATTTAGGTTTTATCTGTTAGATCTTTACTATATAAATAGAATGTATCTATAATGTAATACACATATATAATACACACCCACCCTATTTTAATGGTAACCATTAAAAAAGGGAAGGCTCTTGGGTACCTTATAAAAGAACACCAGGGTATGTTCTCACATGTTCAGAAAAGAAGTATATATGTGTCTGCATTTGAAGTTAAGAATATTCAAATTCTCCAGTGTAATGATTTATGATAAAGGAGCATTTAGATGGGAATCCAATCTCTTAAAATTGCAGTCATATAATAATCCTGGGGCGGTCCTTGTTATCTTCCTTCCCCATCTAAGAGGTCTATGTATTTTCCCAAGTAAATGTATAGCAATTTAGCCACAATGTGAGATTGTCATCCATAACAACGTGCTTCCTGTCTGTTGCATTTTTT